TCTTATGATGTAATCACGCTAACCACTTAGCCCACATCTCAGCCTCTTATCCGTCCAGTGATTGCATTTCTATTCAATATGCAGAGTGGTTATCTTTGATGCAGAGACTGAGCTGGAGTCTGTAACGCCTCATTCCTTCCCGATAGATGCTGAATCAATATGGAGTCGATACTCCTCCTCTTCACTAACCGAGCAGTTTATTAAAATGTCTCTCAGATCAGACGTCTGCTTCTCATCACTTTTCCTTCTTTTCTTCAAGCAGCTTCCAGATCACAGAAGCTACAATAAATGTGCGGTTGAACCCACATGATTCACAATACTGCATTGCTCTCTCTCTGTTTTTTTGTTTTTTCATGCTTCAGTTATTAACATTGTCTTTGATTTACATGCGTCTGACTAATGTAGACTCTTTAATTTGGTCTGTGGTGGGATGGACCTTGGTGCAAGTTATGTGTCACTGGGAATAGTTGCATTATTTATACTCACTCTGATTAATTCCTTATGTTTACACACATCTTGTTGACATTGAACAATAATTACCCCAGTTATTGAATCAACTATCAACCTTGATTAACTCATATCAGTACAGTAATTGATGGTTTGGCCACTAGAAGGCAGAAGAAGCCTTTTACATTTGCTACAAGTAATGTGTTAATTTACGTTCCTTTTATCTCTGGTTTGCTCTCAACCAACTCTTTACCTGAGTTCATACTTTCAGTTCATACACAAACCAAAATTTGTGACTGCATGCATTTTCTGCATTGCAAGCGTGCCAAATGTGCATTTTCCAGAAAAGCAAACATTGCTTAAAACAAATGCTTGTTACTAGAAGAGAGACTGCATGAAGAGATTCTCCAACTTTCACAAATTTAGACTTTCAAGGTGCTTTGATTTTTACATGCTTAGTACTGACAGTGCTCAAACACAGCAGGAAGTTCTAAATTCTCCAGACATCCTGTGCTATGTCCACCCACTGTCCCCGACACACCTCAGGATTAATCACATTGACGGTGCCACAGTCTAATCTGTAACTAACTGCTTTGTTTTGGAAACCAAGCTTTCAGAAACATCCACAGCAGCCATGTTTGTTTTTCTGTGTCCGGTACAAGGGGCCACGTGGCCATCTGTAGGAGACCAACGTCTACCTTTGTAGTTCGAATAGAATCACTTTCGGCTTTCAAACCATGACTTGACCTTTAATAGTGAGGAGGTGTTTCACTTTCCTCACCAGATAGTTGCTAAACTGTGTATAAAAGCTGGACGTGTTCACTCTAATGTACCCCGTTGGTTTGTCGACCACCGTTTTGAGGCCTCAAGTTTAGAATTTGGACATCACCGTTGTGGTTTTTTTTTAAAAATATGTGATGAGCAAAGGGTTGATCTGACTCTACTACACTATTGATGACCACACATTTGCGACTTTTCAACCACGAGATAGCCACACACTAAAACACACTCTGCTTTATCTTTTGTTTT